CAGAAGCCCCAACCAGCATAGCTGGTGGTGAAGGCTTCTGGGAATTACAGTCCAAGAACACCTGGATTACCCAAGGTTAAGAACCACTGGTGTAGAGCGCTGGGTCCACGCCCCTAAAACGAACCCCTTGCCAGCTCTGATGGACGCCTCCGCCTTGGTTGGTAACGTCCATATGAGGTTCAGCTACAACTCCATACACTGAAAAGTGCCACGCCCCTTCTTGCCCTTGGGCTCATCAGGCAACGAAAAGCGTCTTGGGCCAGATCTAGGAATGGCATAGTTTTGAATTTAAGGCCAAGACTTAAATATAAGCCCTAGGAAAGGAGAAAATGCAGGCAGGCAGGCATATAAAAAAGATGCACCCAACACAGTTAAGCACTGCAATGAAGGTGCACACAGCTCAGCTTGGAAACCAAGTACAGTACAGCTTTTGAGAAGGTAGGCTGGCTCTTGCACCACAAACAAATGTTGGCAGACTGGTAATTGTTGTGGTCATATTTACGGAAGTGATATAGTGGTCTGCTGAAATTCTGTTGGCCGCTGCAGGTGGGATTGGATATGAGCCCAAAGTAAGTCTGATGAAGTTAGGAGGGGATTTCTTCTTAGAACCCTTCCAGTCCATAGATTTGAAAAGTCAGAATCTGCTTGCTAGGAGGAATAGCAGCTTGGTCTGAAGGAAATAAGGGTATAACAGAAGAAAACGTAATTCCCCTTGAGCTGCACAGTGCTTGGATTATATATGAATATTGGAGTGAGGAATACAGAGGCATAAATATTTAAGGCATTTTTGGTCAATCTGGCAGCCTCCAGATGTGTTGGACAATTCCCATTCTCCATAGTTAGCGTAGCAAGATGACAATTCCCGTCATCCCCAGAAGCATGAACTGTGACACAATCATGTGTGTTTGTCATTCAGCTAGTGTAAAGCAGTGGTTCTTAACGTGGGCGATAATGCCCCCCAGGGGGCGATTTCATTTTTCAGGGGGGCGGTAGAACGAAAAGGGGCGGCGTGGGGGCGCTGGAGCAGAAGGGGGCGCTGGAGCAAGCGAAACCTGTGAAGATGGCTGCAGCCTTTTTACAATCGCCCAGTCCCCTCTCCTGGAGGACAAGACCTCCGGGTGGTGTAGAGCTGGGTCCGTGCCCCTTAAACGAACCCCTTGCCAGCTCTGATGGACGCCTCCGCCTTGGTTGGTAACGTTCAGATGAGGTTCAGCTACACTACAACTCCATACAGTGAAAAGTGCAACCCCCCTTCTTGCCCTTGGGCTCATCAGGCAACAAAAAGCGTCTTGGGCCAGATCTATGAATGGCATAGTTTTGAATTTAAGGCCAAGACTTAAATGTAAGCCCTAGGAAAGGAGGAGGGACAGGCATATAAAAAAGATGCACCCGACACAGTTAGGCACTCTGCAATGAAGGTGCACACAGCTCAGCTTGGAAACCAAGTACAGTACAGCTTTTGAGAAGGTAGGGCTGTCTCTTGCGCCACAAACAAATGTTGGCAGGCTGGTAACTGTTGTGGGCATATTTACGGAAGTGATGTAATGGGATGCTGTAATTCTGTTGGCCGCTACCGGTGGGATTGGATATGAGCCCAAAGTAAGTCTGATGAAATTAGGAGGGGATTTCTTCTTAGAAAGAAGTCCATAGATTTGAGAAGTCAGAATCTGCTTGCTAGGAGGAATAGCAGCTTGGTCTGAAGGAAATAGGGGTATAACCAAAGAAAACTTAATTCCCCTTGAGCTGCAACACTGCTTGGATTATACATGAATAGTGGAGTGAGGAATACAGAGGCATAAATATTTTAAGACATTTTTGGTCCATCTGGCAGCCTCCATATGTGCTGGACGATTCCCATTCTCCCTAGTTAGCATAGCAAGATGACAATTCCCATCATCCCCAGAAGCATGAACTGTGACACAATCATGTGTGTTTGTCATTCAGCTAGTGTAAAGGTCACTGGGCTGCCAAAGGCTTTTATTGAGGAATGGATAGGGCTTTTCAGTGCATAAATATATGTGGTGGGTGAGGAAGAAAACTTTAATCATCATAAAATCCTAATGAAACTCCATGCACAATCTCTGAAGCTTGCGGCCTCCTGCATACCTGGGAGTATTTTTTCATCTTGTGCTTTAATGTGTTTGAGTATCTCAAGTCTTTGCGAAAATTCAGCTGGTCGTTTAACATCCTACATGTTCACCAAGATCTTGGCATTTAAACAAGGAAAGAAGTATTAATGCTGTTGCCAAGAGACAGAAGATTGATTTTATTGTGATCTGATTCATTAACTGATGAAAAAATGAGTTAATCTCTTGGATTTTCCTCTGCTTGGTGTCTCTTTGTGTATGGTGGTAATCACAATATGGTATTCTAGACCATCTTGACTGCTGGCATGGCTGTCATCAACGTTCAGGCTGACCTTTGCTGTAAAGTTTGGTATCCTTTTTCTCAGTGGTAACAGGAGGGCATAATATTGTACAACCGTATCAGACTTTGTCTTTATCAGACTATTCCATTTCCTGGTTTGTTGGATTGTGGATACAGAAGCATAATATCCCACATTCATAAACTGGAGGTTTTCTGAAAAATTGAATAAAGTTTTACTACTTGTTATGTATTGCCATGTTGCCTCCCAACTATGAATGAGTAACCTCCAAAATGTCTTGTGCTCTGTAGCCCTGCTCAGCTCTTGTAAACTGAAACCTTTGGCTTCCTTTGTGGAGTCAATCCATCTTGTATTTGGTTTTCCTCTTTTCCTTTTGCCTTCAACTTTCCCCAGCATTATTGTCTTCATCAGGAAATCTTGTTGTATTGTGATATGCCCAAAACATGACAGTCTCAGTTTCATCGTTTTTGCTTCCAGAAGTAGTTCAGGCTTGATTTCCCCTTGGATCCACTTGCTAGTCTTTTTGGCAGTCCAGTGTATCTGCAGAATTCTCCCGCAACAACATAAGTGAATAAATTTTGTTCCTATCAGCCTTTTTCACTGTCCAACTTTTACAGCCATACATAGTGATTGGAAATACTGTACAGTGATGTGGGTGATCTTTGTCTCCTGGGTCACATCTTTACACTTTGTTATCATCATCCTCTTAGAACTGCAGAACTAAAAGGGACCCTATGCAAAGATTTCTCTAAGGCGCGTGGCTGTGTGTGCAGGAGACTTTGCCTCGTTCCATGCATCTTTCCTTCTCTGTGCAGCCCCTTTGGTTCTGGTCATGATGGAACCCCAAGTGGGGGGGGGGCAGAGTCATGCACAGGCAAGTTGCAAGAGAGTGAGTCAGAGCCCCACCAGCAGAGGTGAAAATTAGGGGGGTACGTTGACCCTATAGATAATCAAGTCCACCCCCCTGTTAAGGAGGCCCAGTGGGGAATTGAACTCTGAACATCTGGCTCCGCAGCCAGATATCTAAACTACTGAGCTATCCAGCAATTCTTTTCTAATTATTTCATTGCTGCCCTTCCAAGTCTCAGTCTTCTTCTGATTTCTTGGCCACATTTGGATTGGTGATTGAACCAAAGTATACAAAGTCTTTAACAATTTTAATTTCCTTACTGTCAGGCAGTGTAATTCTGTAGTCACGATTTTGTCATCTTAATGTTCAACTATTGTCTTGCTTTGGTCCTTTCTTCTTTCACTTTCACCAAATGCCGTTTCTGTTAGTAAGGGGATACTATCTACTTATCTTAAATTATTGATATTTCTTCCACCAATGTTCATTCCTCCTGTGAAGGACAAAAGGCTAGGGTGCTATCCTCGGCAGAGGATAGACAAGAAGAGACATTTAGATGTGTAGAGGGGGAGCTCATAAAGATAGAGGAGGAGGAAGTGAAGGGCACAAGGGCGATAGAGATATGCTTGACAGAAGACAAGGAGGGGGACAAAGGGGAGGAGCAAGACCTGATACTGGGGGAGGAGGTTATAAAAGAAGGGAGTAACACGTCATGGGAATTTAGAGTGAGAACTGACATGAAAGAGAGAAACAGGACAGAGTGGTGCAAACAGATGGAGTGGATGAAACAACTAGTAAGGTCTGTGATCTGCTGAGAGAATTCCCCAATCTTAAGACAGGAGGAGGATTGCTCCCAGATCCTGCCTCTCCCAGAGGTGATGAAAAGGCGGTGAAACCGCTAGAAGGGACGGTAGTAGTTTACCCCCACAATCAAAGTGGAGGGAGGAAAGTGATCCGTCCCAGTCCCATCCTGCAACAACCCACCTCTAGAAGGGGATTGGGCGAGGCATCCGTGTTGTGGCACGGTGTGTGCTGTGAGGGGTACCCCAATGAGACTGATGACCGACTGCAAGCACTTTGGTCCAGCCCCAATGTGAGGAGTGAAATATTTACATCGGAGTCAAAAATATTGAGTCATAGGATGATTCCAGAGTTAAGCTGTTTTGATCCATTTAATCTTGTCAATCCAGAAGCTGATGAAAATAAAATTAAGGTTGTTGAACAGTTCAAACCTCCGTCTCTCATTCCCACCAAAATGAAGGCACCGTCACCAATTTTAGAACTTTACTTTTACTTTTATTGGACTTATACTCCGCCCCTCTAGACAAGGTCTACTCGGGGCAGCTTACATGAATAATAAAACACAATAATGTAACATACATAATAAAGAACTCAGTCACACCTCCCTTATGTGAATCTAGACATCTTCTACATAAAGACTGAGCAGATAACAAGATAAAATGCACCCTTGTCTGATATCTTTGCTTATTTTAAAAAACGATTCTGTGTCTCTGTTTCCTGTTATAATGGTAGTTTCTTGTTCACAGTAGAAGTTATGCATCAGGAGAAGCAAGTGTTGAGACACATCCATTTATTTCAGAACAACTCAGTAGCTTCTCATGAGCCACACAGTCAAAGGCTTTGCTATAGTCAGTAAAGCATAGATGGATCTTCTGAAATTCTTTCATGAACGGCAGTAGCCAGTTAATATTTGCAATCTGATCTTGAGTTCCTCTTCCTTTTTGGAGTCCAGCCTGAACATCAGTCATTTTTCACTCCATATAAGGTAAAAGCCTTTATTGTGATCCTCTACTGCTGGGTAGTTCCTTGGCTATCATTTGCTTGCGTGGGAAATTAGAACAGTGGTGCTGTAGTTACTGCAGCTCTTTGCATCTCCTTTTGTGGGGACTGGAATATATATTGAGCATTGCTAGTCTGTGGAGTATTGTTTTATTTTCCATATTTGCTGCCATATTCTTGATAGAATTTTAACGTATTCATTATCTGAGAATTGAAATAGGTCTATCGATATCCCATCTACTCCTGGTGATTTATTCCTTCCCAATACTTTCAGCGCAGGTTTCACTTCACTTTCTAGAACTGCAGATTCTTCATCACAGGATTCGTCAAAGGAATCTGTCCTGCTTTGATCTCTTCTATATAGGACATAGACCTTCAGTATACTGTATCCACATTCTCTTTTATTATGTGCTTCTTTGTTGGTTTTTCAGTTTTCCTAATCTAGGCTTAAATTTCTCTTTGATTTCTTGGATCTTCCTGAAGAGATCTCTTGTTTTTCTTTTTCTGTTCTCTTCTATTTCTTTGCACTGACTGCTATAATAGTTTTCTTTGTCTCTGTGTGATAGGCAATGAAAAGCTGATTAAGGATTCTGACCCTACTGCTGCCACTTTTTATTTTGCTTCTTGCTTGTCCATAATAATTGTAAATATTTTTTTTCATAATCCATCTAGGTTTTTGCCTAGATTTCTGACACCTATATTTTCAGTTACATATTGTTTCCCTAATGTGACTTTGTGGCTAATAAAGGTGACGGTTCCCCTTGACATTGAGTCCAGTCATGTCCGACTCTAGGGGGCGGTGTTCATCCCCGTTTCCAAGCCATGGAGGCAGCGTTTGCCCATAGACAGTTTCGGTGGTCATGTGGCCTGTGCAACTAGACATGGAACGCTCTTACCTTCCCTATTTATGGTACCTATTTATCTACATGCATTTTTACATGCTTTCGAACTGCTAGGTTGGCAGGAGCTGGGTCAAGCAATGGATGCTTATTCGTGTGGATTTGATTTTACGACTGCTGGTAATAGGCAGGTCTAATTCCTGTTGAAGGTCATGCCATGAACTTATATTTCTACTGGAAGGACTTGCACCATTAACATTTTTTTTCCTTATATTTATATCCCGCCTATCTGGTCGATAGACCACTCTAATGATAGATACAGTGGTGACTCGCTAGACAGTTACCCCGCATGACAGTTTTTTCGCTAGACATTGACTTTTTGCGATCATTATAGCGATTTGCAAACCAATGATTCCTATGGGGGAATTTCACTGGACAATGTTTGGTCCCTGCTTCGCAAACCAATTTTCGCTAGACAACGATTTTGACAGCTCCCTCCGTGTTCACAAAACGGGTGTTTTCTGGACCTAAGCTTCGCAAGTCAGTGATTTAAACAGCTGATCGACGGTTCGCAAAGTCGTTTTCCTATGTCCGATCTTCACTAGACAATGACGATTCTTCCCCATTGGAACACATTAAACAGGTTTCAGTGCATTCCAATAGGGAAATGCTTTTCGCTAGACAATGATTTAGCTAAACAGTGATTTCAGTGGAACGGATTATCATCGTCTAGTGAGGCACCACTGTACCTTTCAATATAAATGGCAGAGGCACTTGTCCTAAGGAATTACTGTCTCTAAAATTTTCTCCCATCCTCTTAATAGGGCTTTACTACTCTAAAGCCAAATCAGTTGTTAAGCCAAGCATCTGTAACATAGGACTGCAAGAACATTTAAGTCTGCTGAGTAAATATTTACATTTGCTGAATAAATATGGTGCCTTAGGCAATACTGTGCCTGCTGCCTATTTGGCTAATTTACCATTTCCCAAATTCAGGAAAGTGTTCATACTAGGCCAATTTAATGTCTTGCCTTCTGTACTCTTGGTGAGAAAATAGCATGGAGTACCTTAAGTGGGATTATTCATGTCTCTGAAATAGTGGGGAAGTGGAAACTCTGGGTCATGTTCTTTTACATGGTTCCTCCTACTTGGACCTTTGTAAGGGATTTCTTTTATATATTCTTCAAATATGACCAGGTAGATCATAAGAATTGTATATTTCATTGTTTCACTCTTGAACAAGTCCTCCATAATAGTAATAAATGGCCAAATTTGTGTAGCTGCCATAGTTTGCCCTAGTTCGCTTAGTGACACACACACACACCGTTTTGGATATTTGTGACATAAATGTTACATACTATGTATGTAGACACAGTTTTTGGCATAATGTACATTGCACTCTATTCTGTTTTGTAATGTACTATTTGTTTAGTACTGGTCTTTGACTATAATAAAGTAAGTTCTTTAATTCATCTAGCTTTTTTCTTGTTATTACAGGAATTTTTTTGCATTCTTGCCTAATAATATCTCTAGTTTCAATCTACATCTTCTGGTTCACAGTTGAGTTGAGTAATGGGAATCTGTTCTTTATGTGGACTTCAAATTCATAAGAAATGTTAAAATTATATTTTGATACTAAGATTTTTTTAGTGCTCTTCTTCAGCTTTAATGTTTGATATCAGCAGTTTGTGATCAATAACACAATCTGCTTCTCATCTTGTTTGGCAGAAATATTAGAGCCATATTCTGCTTCCAGTTATGTAGTATGTTTGATTTCTATATTGGCCATTTGGTGATGTCCACATGTACAGTCATCTGTTCAGTTGCTTGAAGCATGTATTTGCGGTAAACAAATATTTGACTCTACAAGCCATTCTGCTATGTTTCTGTCCTCCTAGACCAAAGTTTCCAACAACGTTCAGTTCTTTTTTTCCTACCTCTGCATTCCAAGAACTTATGATTATAATAAGCATGTCTTGTTTGTGTGTAATCAGTTGCTTCCTGGATGCTTGCACAAAAGCTTTCAATTTCATCTTCAACATCTGTAGCTGAAGCATAGACATGAATGACAGTTATATTGATTGGTTTGCTCACATGTCTGCTTGCTATTATTTTTGTCAGATCTTGAATTATATTCCAGAACTGCTTTTGCTACATCCGTTACTCTTCAGTATTAGAGCCACTGAATTTCTTCTGAGTTTGTTATTTCCACAGTAGTATACTTTGTAATTGTTTGAGTGAAAATGTCCTATTGCAATCCACTTTAGTTCACTGACATAAAGCACTGCAGTGTTTAAACATTCCATTTTATCCTTTATGGTTTCAAGTTTATCCTGAGTCATACTTGTCATGTTCCAATAGTGTGTGTCTTTTGGACTTTCCTTTCACCTCTGTGCATGTCAACCACTAGACATCGTTTTGGCTTTAACATAGTTGTCTCATAAGCAGCAGTGCTATTCATACTTGTCTTTGTTCTTCTCCAGTAGCTGATTGCTTTCTGACCTGGGAGTTTCATTGTCCAACCCTATTTTGGTTTCAGTTTAGACTGTCTCATCATATGGTTTTCAGGGTGGTTTATCTTTGCTGTCTTCCTCATAGTACAATACTGACAAAAGTTAGCTTGAGTGTTACTGCCATTGTCTGTTAAAGCTGCCGTCCAGATGTTTTTCTGCCCTCATCACCACTGGAATGAACAATTCCAATGAAGAGGCTGTTACTTCCCTAAGAGGATGGATGGATCTTGGTCTGGTCCCTCACCTGTGACCACTCTGTCTTGGGTGACCCTGCTAGGAGTCCAGGCTCCTCATATCCTCCTCATGGCATTGGTTTCAGATTCTCTGACACACTCGAATCCCCTCACCTCCTTAAGGTGTGCATCCAAGGAGTACTCTACCAAGAAGGATTTCACTGCATCCAAGAAAGTTTTTCACTCCACAACCACAACAGAAACCTAAAAAATTTAGCTGCAAGTGTGACCTTTTTTCAGCCAAAACCTTGAGGCAGAAACAAACTCCAAAGGAGGTGTATTGTTTTTGTGAACTTGCATATACAAATAAGGAAAAATTCAAAAGCTGATGGCGTCTGTTCCTGTGTGGACATGGCAGATTTGTGTTCCATGTTGAGACAGCCTTCTGTTCTCTTTTACAGCTGGAGCTGAAGAAAAGACTGGCAGAGCTCTATAGTTTGAATAAAAAGTCTTCACAAGCCTTGGACCAAGTGCGGGTACAGCAAAAACAAGTCAAGGTAAGAAATGCTTTTTAAAATAACTCATGAATTTGTTGTATTTCTGTGAAAGCTGTTCTGTAAGCTTTGAGATCCGGGTGACCAAAAGATCTCCTCCTGGCCCCAAGCCTATGCAAAACCTGCCACTTTGCTGTTTGAGGCCATGGCCTGCTCAGATGGCTTTGTCTTGTTAATCAAGTTCCTTCCTCAGATGGACAAAGTGCTCTTAATTTGAGGGGTTTCTTTTTCTGCTGTGAGTTGACTGAAATTTAACTGCAAAGGTTTTATTGAACTTGGGAGTTTTATCTGCTAATATCTGCTTTTTGCTTGGGTTGACTTTGTATGTGTGTGTGTGTGTGTGTGTGTAAACGTGCACGTACGCAAATCCATATTTATCTCTGTATTGTTCCTTTGCTCTGACCTGTCTTGGAAATGTTACTGAAGGATATATTTAAAAACTTGTGGCAACTAAAGGATAACCTCAGACCAGATTGCTTTACACTTACCTAGTGGTTTATATATGAACTGGTGGCTCTTGAGGAATAGGAAAGGGAAAAGAGGGGCATGGGCTTTCGCCGTTCCTCCTGAAACATCCCTTTATAATGTAGGGAGAGGATTCTCTTTTTTTGACAAAAAATCTGGAACATCTTTGATGACCGCTGTTCCCTTGTGCAGGGAAATTATTAGGAACACCAGCAAGCTAATTATATTTTCTCGTCCAAACCTAACCTCTAGTTTCCTTCCCCTAATTTCTAACTACCACCTCCATGTTCTGGAAGAATATATGTTCTTGTTAGTCCATTTATTGGATTAATACATTTTATTTCTATTTTCCAAAATTCTCTGTCCTTTCAGAATTTCCTGCTTTTCTAATGGGTGATCTATTTCAGTTTCAGATCAATAGTTCTTAATCTCCTGTATTTTGGATCTTTTATGGAGAAAACTGCAAGGAGAGAGTGTATATAAGTATGTGTAAAATAAATGGTACAATGCTTTGTCAATTCAAACAATTCTACTTATTATTAACACTGAAAAACCATCTTGCTATGAATTTAATGCTGTTAGCATATAAAGTTGGCAGGTATTAAACTGCAGCAGTAATGATGGTGAGGAACTGTCTTTTCACCTAATCCCCAAAACATCTCGCCAAATTTGGTTTCCACTTGGTTTTTCAACCTGTTTAGGATACCATCTCCAGCAAGTTGGATTTGCTGAAATCAGAGTTTCTGGAAATCAGAGCTTTAATTCAAGAAGGAGAAGAAGAAGCTGTAAAAAACCTGGTCTCTGAGGAAAAAAGAGTCTATGATAAATATGAGTTTGTCTATAAAGTCCTTGGTAAGAAGAAAGCTGAAATCCAGGAAGAGAAAGCGGGGATTGAAATGGCTTTGACAGAAGATGATGACATTGTGTTTTTAAAGGTAACCTTCAGCTTTGCTGAATTCCATTCACAACTGAACAAGCATTTAAAATCAGAGTGGATAAACATAATTTTTTGAATTGAACCTTTAATTTTCTGTTGGATTTTTAAATTTGAGCCTGTTGTTGCTAAGCTTTCTCTGATTTTCGGAAGAGCCTATTGTGGTGATAATTTTAATTTAAAATGTCTTTACAATAATTATAAATTCAAATTCTGTATTATGAGACAATCTACTCATATCATTCCTTTCACAAAGTTTTGTAAATAGGGTCCATTCATTTTTTTTAAAATTAAGGCTTCAATTTTGTAGTGATCCACAAGCTTTTCTGTATAGATTTATTTGGGTTCATCATTCCGATCTCCCCTAGTAATCAGTTTAGTAGATACGAGACAGATTTGCAGTTTCTAAAACTGGGTTTGTGTCTCCGCATGTACCCTGTTTCCCCTAAAATAAGACCTAACCTGAAAATAAGCCCTAGTATGATTTTGCAGGATCCTCGTAATATAAGCCCTACCCCAAAAATAAGCCCCAGTTAAGTGAAACCCCAAACTCCACCATTGTGCAGCAACCAGAAGAAGATGACATGACTGTATTTGAATAAACGTAGATTATTGTACATGAAAAAATTAAATATCCCCTGAAAATAAGCCCTAATGCATTTTTGGAGCAAAAATTAATATAAGACCCTGTCTTATTTTTGGGGAAACAGGGTACACACTTGCTAATAGCAATATATGGTGAGAAAAAAAATAATAGACTGGATCAGCCCTGGTTTTCAGTGCAGACTGAAGTTGTTTCTGGAACCCGTCTCAACATGTTAACAATGTTGAAAGTTCTTAGAAACCCTATTAAAATCTCCAGGGTTGCTTTTAATAGTGTCTTTCAGCGATTATGATTCCTTTGGAGTAGGAATCCTAGCTGTGGTCCCTCTGCAGCTTTGTCTTTGTAGAACAAAATGAAAGTTCTCCATCAGAAATCGCACACTTTGGATTCATGTTTGATCCAGTGATTTCTCCACCCCAAAAGTACACATCATGAGTTCATGAGTTTTGCCTGTTGAATTTGATAGTGAGAGCTAAATGATTGTTTTATGGGCCTGCTTCATATTGCCATCTTCTCTTCCAAGTCTCATGCATATCATTGGACATTAAGGTAGCACATCCCTGACTAGATTCCTCCCTACAGTAGGAAACTGTAGCTGGAAATGATGTCCCAGCAAACGCTTCTTTTGGATAGAGTAGTTCCACTTAATATCCTGCTTTTCTTCCAGCCGTCTCCTGGAAAGCATACATGGCTCCTCTCCTCCACCGTTTGACCTCACAACAATAACCCTGTGAGCTTGAGAGATAACGTGGCCCAGTTACTTAGTAACTGTCATGACTCACTGCTGGACCTTGTCTGGCTCACCCATGTCTCATGATACCACTAACCACTAGACCACACACACAGGCTTGATTTTGAGAGAGCATTTGCTGAAGCAGACAGTGTTGGGATCTCCTTACCTGACATTGTACGGTTGTACTCATGATCCATTTTTCTGTGGTAAAGTGGGTGAATTTTGAGACAGTGCTATGTGTAAAGTGACTTTATACAGCCGAGTCTTAAGAAGGCTTCTCAGAATTAGGAAGTACACTTAGGATTATGGCCTTAGCTTGGCTTCCTTAAGAGGGAAGGTGTGCTCCCATTGGCTTAGAGCAGTGGTCCCCAACCTTGGGTCTCTAGATGTTCGTGGACTTCAGCTCCCAGAAATCCTTGCCAGTAGAGGTGGTGGTGAAGGCTTCTGGGAGTTGTAGTCCAAGAACATCTGGAGGCCCAAGGTTGGGGACCACTGGCTTAGAGTACTGCTTTTCTTAATTTAGAGATGAAAAGGGTAGCCTAGTCTTGAAGGAAACTTGAACTGCAGAACAGAAGGTACTGCAAAACAAGACCAAGTAGGGACAACCATGTATCTCTACTCTGTCAGGTAGTGTACATAGTGTCCTAATCAGGCAGGATGTGATAGGACTCCTCGTTGTTTTGAAAGTGAATCTACATCAGGACTTCCTGCTTTATTTCAGAAAGCAGCAAAACTGCGTCCAGTGCTCTTCAAAGATGTATTCATTCCCAAGATAGAATTGGATCAAAACCTGATACATACGGTCTATCAGAATGCCTGTGGCTTCAGAGAAAATGTGAAGCAATTTTTGACTCAGCCCAAGGAGCAGAAAAATGAAGGTGATTTATTTAATCATTTTTTTAAAAATTGGCCAGTTTATACCTTTTTTCTTCTTACCTTGTTTCAGTAATATATGGCAGCATTATTATTTTTTTAATTGTGTGAATGGATGTCTACAGAATCAGAACATACGGCGGTCATGTTCTTCTTAAAGAAGTAGTTCTAGAAGTCACATAGATGTGACCTGAGGGATTAAAATTTAAGGGCGAGGGCTAGCCTATTGAGTTGGACTGTGCACATTCCAGGCAGCAGCTGGCTTGTTGTTGGGGAGATATTGGCTTGGTTCTGTGGATAAATACTGGTATATCTGTCCTCCATCGGTAAGGTGGGTGTATGAATGTCACATTTGTTGTAGCGTAGTCCTGGAGAATGTAGTCCCCTAAAATATCAGCTCAAGACCAGTGTGGGCACAGCTAACTAGGTAATAAAATAATTCTAGTCACCGTGTGCAGGACCTGTGGGGAAAATCCTGATTTGCTTAATGATCAAGAAGATGGAACTGTTCGGTGCCACTGCAGGTTCCTAAATTTCAGAATTCAGACATGCAGGCCAGAATGTTAGATGGTTAAAGAAGGTAAGCTTTATTCAGAGGAACTCCTCTAGAAGGGAAGCAGACATCATTTGTTTATTACAAAGAGTGGCATATATTCAACCTATAAAGTGTATTGGCTAAATTATTTTTTCCTCATCTGTTTTGGGCTGTCTCACCAAGACACCTCTCAACAAGCAGTTTCAGTATTTCATTAAGTCATAAGATTCCTTTTGGTAGGCAATAATGGGACATGCAATGTTATTTTTTCCCCTCATCATGGTCTCCACTCCTTGTACAAATTCTTTGCACAAAATAAGTGTTATTTCCCTTTTAAAAGTCAATTCTCACACTGTTAAGCAAGTCAATTTTTCAAATCACAAAAGGGTTTAGTTTGTTTTGTGGGCCATAGGATATGACAGATGTCTTTGAATACTGGATCGACAAAATAGGCAGTTCCACTGGTTTCAACTCTGATTTTATCAGCTTTGACTTAACTAAAGTCAGCCTTAAGTGATGTTAAGGTCACATTGGCAATAGCAATAGTAACTATATGTTAAATGCAGGTCTGTGTATGATGCTACGAGGTAACACCCTGGCATTAGTACTTGCTTTTGCCCTGAACGTCCTGTGTAATGGATAGCTAATAGCTGTTATGCTCATAGCTGTATATACTTTCAGGAAATGCCCAGTGGAAAACCAAAGCACAGACCCAACATCCACAGCCAGGAAGAAAGAATGCTGCTTCAGGTAAGTGTATAAGCAAAGCAACGCTAGTTGCCAAACCCCTTTTTCTAAAGGAATAAATGTGTACTCTTTTAAAGAACAAAAGATGTTATGATAGAAACATTGTTTCTTGTACCGATTTCTCTTGTTCTGCTACCCTTGCTCAAACAAATGTAAGGTTTTGACACCTGTTTAATGTTGCTAACAGTGGCTGAAATCAGGTAGTAAGTCACAACTAAAGTAGACCCATTGATTCTGTGGAAGTTGCAGATTCACTAGATCCCCACGCAATTATCAGGGTGCTGATTGTGACACTGATCACTCCCTCGTGTGTAGTAGAGTAAAACTGTGAATAAAGAGATTGTATCACCCAAAAAAGGAAGATCACGTATTGACATCAGCAAGACTCGCAATCAAAGAAAAGTGGAGGAATTCACGTAAGCACTTGAGGAAACCCTTCCAGGCCCGGCTGATGCAAATGCACCTGAACGATGGATGAGAACATTTCAAGAATGCTGTTTATAACACCACCTTGTCCACATTTGGCAAGAAGACCAAAACGAAAGCAGACTGGTTTGAAACCCATTCTGAGGAGTTGATGCCAGCCGTCGAAAAGAGGAGAGCCCTAGCAGCACACAAAGCATATCCTAGTGAGTACAACTTGGCAACAGGCTACCAGGACATCCCATTCTGAGGAGTTGATGCCAAGCCATTGAGAAAAAGAGAAGAGCTCTATCAGCATACAAAGCCTGTCCTAGCAAGTACAACTTGGCAACAGGCTACCAGGACATGCTCCAACGATTATTGGCTTCAGCTCTGCTCTCAGATACAGATAGCAGCGGACACAGGTAACATCAAAGGAATATATGATGGTATCAAGCAGGCTTTAGGTCCAATACAGAAGAAATCTGCTCCCTTGAAGTCTACTACAGGCGTGATCATCCAGGACCGAGCACAGCAAATGGACCGTTGGGTGCAGCACTACTCTTGAGTTATATTCCATAGAGAATGTAGTAACCGAAGAAGCATTAAACAACATTGAGTGCTGGCCTGTCTTGGAAGAGTTGGACAGCGAACCAACTTTAGCAGAAATAAAAGCGGCCTTGGATTCCCTCGCCTCCGGCAATGCACCTGAAATGGATAACATCCCTGTTGAAGTGCTGTAAAGAGATCATCACCACCAAGCTGTATGAAATCTTTTGTCTTTGCTGGAGGGAAGGTGGAGTACCACAGGACATGAAGGATGCAAACATCATGACATTGTATAAGAACAAAGACGACAGGGGTGACTGCAATAACTACCATGGCATCTCTCTTCTCAGCATTATAGGGAAGCTGCTTGCCTGTGTTGTGCTGAAGAGACTCCAGGTACTTGCAGACAGAGTCTATCCAGAATCACAGTGTGGATTTCGAGCTAATAGATCCACCACTGACATGTTATTTTCCCTCAGACAGTTGCAGGGGAAATGTAGGGAACAACGACAGCCACTCTTTGTGGCCTTCATTGATCTTACAAAGGCCTTTGATTTGGTTAGCAGGGACGGCCTTTTTAAAATACTCCCCAAGATTGGATGTCCACCTCAACTCCTTAACATCATCAAGTCCTTTCATGAGGAAATGAAGGGCACTGTAGTTTTTGATGGCT